CTTAGAGAAAGTGAGTAACATGAAACTGGAAAGTCTGATGTTTATTGGATGTACTTTTCTCACTTCCAAGGATACTGTGCAAACTGTGCAACAATGTAAACAAATTGAGGTAGCTTTTGGAGAATCATATGAGAATATCTGTTTCAATAGGTGCGGGTGGTTTCGTCCTATTCTATCGCCTCTGGCACATAAACAAATGATAATAATCAAAGTCAATCTAAATAAGTGCGTAAAACTACGCAATCTGACGGTAAACATGGGTGAATATGCGAGTGTTATACTCAGTAAACAAATAGTAGGTGGTCTACGGTATTTAACACTAGGTAAGATGAACTGCGATTGGCTGCTCCCATCTTTTTGGTGTTATGATGCTAGACTAGAGTATTTATCAATTGACATTTTTAATCTAAAGCTCGCTGTCAATTTTCTAAAGGAAATTAACCGAAACGAACTTAAGCATCTAGTATTAATTTGTATTTTGGATGGATGTCTTCTGGAAACTTGTGATGCTTCTAATTTATTTAACCTAGACTTTGCCGCCCTTAAAGTTTTAGAAATTAATGCTGGCGGTTTATATAATAAGCTAAGTAGTGGGTCAACCAGTGAAATACAAATGCGAAAGTTGGAAACACTAAAAATCTGGTGCCCGTACTTAGATGAAGTGTTCATGCAAATGATAACTGAGCTGGAAATGTTGAAACATCTTGAAATTTGTATGTATGATGATGAGGATGTCAAGTGTAAATCTTTATGTAGACAACTAAGCAATTTGAAAGGTCCAATAGAAAAACTCCTTGTTAGTTCTGAGTTGACCATTTATGAACTGGTGAGGTCGATAGAACCTTTAAAAACGCTAAAAGAATTTCGCATAGATGGTAGATCCATTCGGCCAACATTTGATAGCCTCGCCAATCAAAGTTATGATAAATGCCAACCTGCAAAAGTTGACGCAAATGAACAGAATTTGATGGAGAGTAAGAATGTGGTGCATCTTAAACTTCACACTCTTCATGTTAGCGTAGATTCAACTTATGAAGAACTAATCGAACTTATGTTGTGTCAAGATTTTGAAGCTTTCGCTGACATTATAAAACTGGTGATTGACTTAGTACCAACACGTCCAGGAGTAATTCAGGTATCGTTTGAAAGCATGCAAACGCAATTCAATAGATTGATTGAAAGTGTTTTGGAGACTTTCGAACAACTTGATGTACTTGTGTTCTGTTATAAGAGTTCTGACATATCTGAAGAAGAGGCGCATATTCTCCGTGAGTTTTTTTCGTCGAGATGTAAATCTCTTAAAGAACGATGCGAGTGGTCAGATAAGTGCAATGAAGAACAAACCATTTTCGAGCTTTATAAGTAAAAGTTAAGTTATTTTTCGATATTCTGGTGCTGATTGTTTATTTTTATGATTGTAATGATCTCAGGTCTCATTGTTCATAGTATTCAAGCAATCTATAACATATTGATGACATGTGCCAACAGCAGAATGAATGATGTTATCGATCTAAACACAATGTATTGTGTCTCCTGCATATGATCAACGCCATTGCAACAGAAAATTTGTTGATATGAACAATTAAGATCTTTGTTGATCCGTAAAGTGATTTAAAACCGCTTGCGTTGAGATAACTGCTCTGTCATGTTAACAGTAATGAAGTATTCACCAAAAGTAAGAGTTGGTATAATGTTGTGATCTATTCGAACATACTACGAATGACATGTCATTCAAAAAAGCGATTTGTGTTGTGAGATAGTCTAGCTGTCATGCATCGGTAGAAGTGTGACAAGCAATTTTAGATATGTTAATTTTATCAATTCACCTTTATTGTTTTAGAAAGTTGTTGTTGTTAATCGGGCAACTGATGTTCTACATTAATAAATGCATGTTAGCACATTCATGTTTGTCTATTGCCTGACAGATACTGACAGGAGAAATTGGTCGTTCTGTGAAAAGTATGAGAGAGAAACAATATGGCATCTCTTCTGGGAATAATAACAATAGGTTGAGCATCGAATACGCTTTCTTGACTGGATGTTAAATTGCCACGGATCACATTTATCTGCAAATCTGAGAATAAAAATTCCTCAGAGTGCTCTTGAGAAATGGTGTCGCGTAAGTTACGGCTTACATTAGGATCAGCATTGTGATTGCAGTACATCTTTAGTTTACAATGAAGGTGTTGAGCGAGATAGCACACTATTTCAGTCATGAATTAAGGGCTAATAACCATGATTGTCTCAGCAGATCAGAAAAGTGTGTTTGTTTGGATTTTGTAGTTTGTTCAGATGAGCCAAATACTTAGTCAAAAAGCATTAAATCTTAGGGACTGCATCACCTTCATAGGTGAGTGTGGTGACAAGTCTCATCACGATGATGAGTCATCAGATGATCGTCCTGCCGGTGGCGATAAATCTGATGAAAGTACTGATAGTAACGGCTATCACGTACAAAGTGAAACAGCCGAGCACTATGCTGGTGAGCTCAACCAGATCTGTGCAAATTGTACGACAATGCACTTTAAAGACGAGGCACACCGTAGACGCATGTACAAGAGCTGCTGTCACTTCGGCAAGCTGGCCTACACACCACGAGATAGCTATCCAGAGGTATCTCAGATCGCTGTTCACCTATACAGCAAGCAGCGATCATAAAAACTTCAAGGCCAACATACGATCGTACAACAGTGCCCTGTTGTTTGCATCAGTGGGTGCACATGTGGAGCAATTCACACGAGGGGTGTACTTCTTCAAGGTGCATGGTCAGGTCTACCACAACACATACAACATAAACCCGCTTGAGAACACTAACAGGAGGTACTCGCAGTTGTATGTGATTGATACAAACGATGCCATAGATCTGAGATCGAGAAACTCTGCAAATGAGAAGTGTAATAGAGCAATACTACACAATATTGACAGGACAATAAGAGAAGTCAACCCGTATGCAGAATCTTGCTGAGGTTGAGAGAAGTGCAGTGCGTGAAAGAAACATGTTGATGGTAAATGTGGAGTCAAACAAGAACATTCATCGTGACATGAACAGGTACAATATTCCTACAACGGGCGAGATCGCGATGATATATAGCGAAACACAGCGAGCATTCATACTCAAGAGAAGACAGTTTCCGGTTCTTCTTTCGTTTGCGATGACAATCCACAAGTCACAGAGTCAGTCATTTGACAAAGTAGGTGTTTATCTGCACAGCCCAGTCTTTGTGCATAGTCAGTTGTACGTAGCTTTGTCGAGAGTGCGCTATGCAAACGGTCTAAGGGTGTATGTTGCTAACAATGGAGACCAAGGAAAGCATGAGAATGGTAAAGTATACATAAGAAATGTTGTATACAATGAGCCATTAGAATGAAAGTGATTTATTGATTTTGTAACCACAGAACAGTTGGTAGAAAGGAATGACCTGATGTTTTAGTCACATTCAAAAGCGCTATTTTGATCTACTATCCATTCATGCACCCGTTTTTAAAACGGGATAGCGCAGCTAGTAATATGATAATTTTAATAATTATTGAATCACAGTTCGTTTCTCAGCAACACTTTTTCCACAATTTGCTTTTCTTCTTCGTCTTCACCTCAAATTTAACATCGTTTATTGGTGTTCCCAGCACATTTTCATTCCTGGAAAGCTCCTCTGCCATCCTAGAAAACAGTAATTCTATATTCAGTCCGTTCTTAGCACTCGTCACAAAAAATTCTACGTTCATATTCCTTGCTTTCTCCTCAAACACATCGAGCACAAAATCTTTTTTGTGCTCTGCTTCGTCATATTTATTTCCCACAAGAAAGATTGGCACGCTCCTGTCCGTTTCAGTGTATATCCCCTCGAACCATCTATCGATACAGTCAAATGATTTGAGGTCCAGCAGATCGAAAACAAGTATTATTCCGTCAGCACTGCGATAATAACTTTTGGTGATAGAATGAAACCTTTCTTGTCCCGCCGTGTCCCAAATGTCTAGTTTCACCTCGGTGTCATCGACTTTAACAATTTTCTTGAGTAGATCAATGCCAATCGTAGAGAATAGGGATGTATCGAATTCATCGTTGACAAACCGCCGAGCTATGCTCGTTTTTCCGACGTAGCTCTCCCCGAGTATTATTATCTTGTACGTCGTTAAGTCTCTTTTGCTGTGCATCAAAGGGCTACGTTTTTTGCTAAATATGAGCCGCAAAGTGTGCGTTTAATTTACGAGTTCTGCGGTAAAAAACTGTGACTGACGGTAAATTGAGGTTAAAATTCTGTTTAATGTGATTAGGCAGTTTGTCAAAGATAAATCCTACTATAACATCAGATCCGGAAGAATAAAGAGAAATAAAAATGCATGTTGATTAAGAAGGATAAATGAAATAGCACACAACTTAGTTGTGTACCTTGAGATACCGTTAGTAATATTAATACTGGCACAGCATAGTGCTATTTATTGATTGGTTGATAAATATTCATACATACTATGGGCTGGAAATGGTGTATTTATACACAATTTACCACGATGATGAATTAATAAAATGTTTTATTAATTAATCACTTTGACAGTTATTCAGATATGTGCAGTTTACAGCAAATATTTTAGCTTTTGAATGAAACTGAGCTGTGTTTCATGTCTGGAGAACGCTCAGTTCGAACACATATTCAAAATCCAGCGTTTTCAAATTGCAGTAACAAATGAATAAGATCAAACTACAGGGGATACGTGTTAACGGACCGAACAAATTTCTGTGTCATGTGTGAAGGTTATTTATTACACCTAGTTATCCTAAATTGCCTAACCACTAAAAATTGCTACACACGTATAAAGTGTGTTTAACTAATTTTCTACGCCATATTCCTTCCATATTTTAACCATGTTTCAGTTCTTACGTGTCTCTACTCGCTAGGTATTTTTACTTTTCTCAAAACCGTATACAACAAATTTTCATAAGGTTTAACTTACCAACTGAGTCATCTTTAATTTCATAATTATGGCATTTGGTATGAAACACCGCTCGTTGCGGTTTATCATAATGCCATCAAAATACCAGCAGCCTCTTCATGCTCCCAATTATCATCTCGTACCTCTGCTCATAACTGATATTTAGGCTGGTTCTGACATGATTTGCTCAGTCTTGTACGATGTGTTCATCTCCCTTCTTTTGTTTACCATCGCCTTTCCATTTAATATTTTATCAGTAGCGACCCTATGAGAAGATTTCCACAGACACTCGCGAGTATCAACGCCACACGAAGAATTTCGTTCCAGAAGTTCTTACAAACAGATGCATCGTTCAAAACACAACGCACAATCATTATACAGCTCCATTCTCTGCACAACTTTCTCGTAAAGAATGGTATTCTTGCAAAACAAAAACCTCGTCCACTCAGCACATCCATTCCGCCGTTTGAGCAGGCGTACCAGCTGCATCTACAGAAATTGGCACTGTTTGACCGAAGTAAAAAGATTTACAATCTGGTGTACCACTCCTCACTGCACAATCAGATGACCAAGATCCTTTTGCTTGCGCTGTTTTCGAACAATGATGCGGTGATTCAGAAGGTCATTGACTCAGGATACCCGCCTGACATTGTTAAGAGATGCATTCCGCTCTACCACTATTTCTGTGCCACAGGAAATAAAACGCTAATGTCGCATGTTGCGTACAAGGCATCATCTTTCTTTGGCCTGAGTGCAAGCATCATATTGTCATTCAAGGGAAAGTTAGAGCTTGACCGCATCGACTTCGCATTTATGACACTCAAGCAGTACCTCCTTTTCAACGAGTTCCGTGGTATCAACACGATTGACAAAAAAGTGAACAAATTCCTTTCTGGATACTGCGGGTACAGCAGTGAGAGCAGCGTAAATAGCAGCAACACCGAAACGAGCTCGCATGACAGCGACGAGTCTTTTATACATTCACAGCTGCAGTTTGAGCGAATACGCAACGATATTGACCACAAGGTGCTTTTTCCACTTGATTTCCTGTGCATACGTAACGATTTTCGTGCCGTCGAGGAGTTGCTCAAGCACACTCCTGATTTTGCCACGCTTAGCAAATTCTGTTTTTTGCTCCAATCCCACGCGGGAATAACGCTTAAGCTACTGCAGTACCGCGCAGATCCGAATCAAAGCTTTCGCGGATACACGCCTTTGCATGTCGCTGCACGTATCGGCAATTTGGATGTAGCCGCGATCTTCATCGCTCTGAATGCAGATTTAGACGCCAAAGATTACTTCAACCGCACACCGATGTACTATGCTAAGCTCTACAAACACGAACGACTTGTTGATCTTTTCAACCAGTCAAAGAACAAAAGGATATTGCCGTATGTCAGCACCGATCTCAAGTTCCTAAACTTTGATATTTTTGAGGGCGAGTCGTGCCGTGAGAGATTGCGCCTTACCAAGGAGCATCTAAAGCGAGCGATGGAAAAGCAGTACCAGAAGAGAAGGTTTATGATCGTATCGCTGTTCAGTCTTACAGCTGCCATTAAGACCGTACAAACGAATATTAAGATGTTGGAAGAGTGGAAGAGCGAGAGAGTGTGTTATACAGCGCTGAATAGCTATGAAAAGTTTAAGTCTATCATAATAAAGCGATGATACGTCTTCCTGATCGAGATGTGACCAAAAATATTTTTAAATACCGCAAACGCGCCGTGTTAAAGCCCTTCTAGAGAATCACAAAAGAACACATTTTTTGGCTCATTCAATTATTTTTAATGTCTGGTCTGCATAGGAGCACTATGGCGATCCTAGGCAGCGGAAACATCTAAAACAAGGGGTACAATGGCTAACACTACCTATTGATTCACTCGTTCATCAGTGAAAGTTTTCCGTGGCAATTACCATTAGTTATATCTTCTTTAATACATTGCTGGTCCTGTTCTATTGAGATATGCAGCCATTTTACATGCTTTTCTTGTCTCAGTATTGCTGTAGAACACATTTTCTATGGAATTGGTGCGGTACTCGTTTCTTGAGGTCAGTCCCTAAATTCACCCGTCTATTTTAAACCAGTGTATAATGACGTGTCGATGAAGAATCAATGAATGTTGTGCAGAAAAGTTGATGTAGTGAGAACGCTGCAAATATTTTCATGTTTCATCTATACTATGCTCTTTCCTTGATCTCTAGGCGTACCAACGCGTGTTATTAAAGTTTCTGTAAGTATTCGTTTCTCTGCCATGAAAGAACAAAAATATTTGTACCGTACTAATATTTTTATTTTGAGTATTACGCGTGTTATTACCTGTGTTCAAGGACCCTACTATGAAGTGCTTATACTCCTTGGGTGGGTAATTTCGTACTATATCATGCAAACTGCGACTCAAAACTGTGGACAACAAAGGCACGATAGATTAGATGAATTGATCCAAATGCTATTTTCACATAAATTGTGTTCATCCAGCCCTTAAATCAAAAATGGGCAGCGATCCCGTAGACTCGTTTTCTGATGAGAGAAAACAATTTCGTTACTCGCCCGCATATACCGCGCTATCCATTTTTTTGGATGACATCAACGAAAGCATACGGGAACGCTCTTACAGCACCGACCCACAAAACTTTGTAATATTACTGTTGAACAGAATCAACGATAAAATAGAGAGCACGTCCCTGAACACTGGGCCACAGCGTTTTGCTAACTGTGCTGTTGCAGAGGTGTATGAATTCGTGGAGGGTATAAAATTGAATTTCGGTGGATTCACGGGATTAAATGACGACGATCGGCGCATTCTGCATCTGTACCTCGATCAAAGTTTCGGAAGCAAGCATCGTTTTGACTATGGCACCGGCCACGAACTTTTCTTTCTCAGTTTTCTGTACGTGTGCAACCAGCTCGCCATTCTTTCGATCGATGATATGGAGGGAATTTTCCAAAAATATTTCCAGGTAGTTCGCAGCCTCATTTATAAGTTTAACCTTGAGCCAGCAGGCTCACACGGTCCCTGGGTCATCGACGATTACCACTTCATGCCCTTCCTCTTCGGAAGTGCGCAGCTTATCGACACGAAGCTGACATTCACAGACCTGTTTAAGAATGAAAACTCGCATCTCCTGTACAGCGAAGCGGTGTTGTTCTGTATTAAGCATAAGTGCAGGTTTGTCAAAACCGATTTCAGAAAGCACTCAGCAGCACTGTACTCAATCAAGGATATTGACTGGAAGAGTATCAACGAGCGTGTCATGGAAATGATTGATGAGGAGGTGATGGGAAGAGATGTGGTCACGCAACACTTCATTTATAGCAAGTACCTGAGAGCACAGAGTAAGTAAATTAAACATCTACGCTGCCAATGATGCCCGTCTCTGCTATGTATGCGTTATGTCAACCCTGCACCTTTTGGTGTGCGTCCATGGTTTGATTAAACTGCGCTTTTACCCCTATTCCGTAGTTCAAGGTTGTACTCCGTTTTAAGCGCTAGCCAACTTCTGAATGTCCGTTATGGAGCGCTACTCATCAGCAAAAGATACGCCCAGTTGGTAAGGCAAACAAAAATGCTTAAACAGTTCATGCACCGTACCACATTTCATTCTTTCCTAAACACGTGTTCTATCCATAAATATTACCATGCTTAGTTATGCTGCCGGTCATCGTTTTATTCTCTAATCATTATTTTCACTATTCTCAGTTTAGACTGTATTCAATTAATTTTCACATAATAAATTTTAGCGTGCAGCTTCTAAACCAAATGCTCTTCACTCTCAAAATATAGTTCTGAACTGAACAAAATTAGCAAATAGTACCGTTTTACGTACGTAATAATACAAAATTGTGCTGGAAAGAGCCTGCATTGTACTTAATTACGGGTACGTACCCTTTCATCAATAAGCTCTCACCAAACCCGTAAGTATGTTACGCACCATACCGCACCTATCCCGATTTGTAACACTATTTTAGCTACCTTTCCAGTATTACATGTACATTCTACTTCACAGCAGTGATAGTGCCACGATTTTCATGTTGATAAATCTTCTTCGTACGAAATGTGCACCCGTTCAGAAAAAATTGCGTGGAAACGATTGTTTAAGATTTATGGTTCTGCTGATGGTAGATGCTGCTTTTGTGGTGACAATCATTTTAATAAACGTATTAAGGAAATTATATTAGGTGATACACACGTTATGATTGAAAATTGCTGTCTCTTCGTGTCTGATCGGAGAAATGATTTGTTCAATAAAAATGTGTTTAACGTCTCCTTTCCCATGATAACTCATCCCATTTTCAGGTGGAATATTTTCATCTGAACCCAACGAAAATAAAATTTATTCATAAATTAGGTTTGGTGGAAGAATCGCTGCTTGGTAATGCCTGCAATTAATACATTTTTAGGAAACGTCCTCAACAAATCATTGCTGTTACTCAAGGGAACATTTCATTCAGTGTTTACACAGAGAAATGACACTTTTAACAATTAAGCGAGACAGAACCGGTTCAAAACACGGTGGCACGATCACTAGAGTTGGCACAAACGACAACAAACATGAACGCTACCACAGCAACATATGCAGGTCAAGACGCGTCGATCTCCAACACTTGATAAATACGCGGTAGGGACCGAAACACATAATGACAGGAAAGAAACGCATCATGTAATACACGGGCACATGCCAATCACGTGGCATACGAGAAAACACTAAGTTAAAGCACTTTTATTGCCTTACTTACCCCTGGAACCTACGTCTTCTATCGATCGGCGGTCGCTGCGTGAACCGCTGCGAGTACGCCGGTGACAACTTGAGCGTATTCTCCTCATCAACTTTCTTGCCATTCAGCTTGTCGATCGCTTCCTTCTTTTCATCTTCAGTCTGGAACTGAGCAAAAACGTACGGTTTCTTCGCATTCTTGGCATCCTTTGGCCAGATCAAATCACAGTTACCCAACATCTCAACCAACTCCTGCTCATGAAGGCTACCTATTCCTGAAATGTGGAGGCGGGTCTTCGAGAAGTACTGGCTACCTCGCTGTCTGCTTCCGCGGGCGTATGTCAACTTGACCGGTTTCTTGAGCACCAAAATTTCCTTCTCTTCCATCGCTTTCTCAGCAAAATCAGGACTCGTAAATCCCACAAAACCCAAGAAAACAGTCTCACCGTTCCTCAAACGCTTATCGGTCTTCAAAAGGTTACTTAAGTTAGTATCAGAACATTCGTTCATCTTCTCTCAGTTACACGAACCAAGGTTGAAATTAAATCATCACTTACATGTCGCCATATTTGCTAAATGTGGCAAGGAGGTCGCCGACCTTTGCTTCAGGAGTGAGCTCGCTGATGACAATGGTTCTCTTTTTCTTACTTTCCATTTTACAGGGGATAAAATTTTTTTTTAATTTAAATTTTTTGAAAAATTTTTAATTTCTGGTATTATTGGCGCATGGGGCACCGCATTGAAACGTGGTATGACACGTTACTGCAGGAACGATGTGCACTAAGTGTCTCTATGGGTGTAGTGCTGCGGTCCTATTTACGCGGTGATTACCTGGATGGTGCCAATCAGGAATTCCTTTTCCTGCTATACTAGAGCAACCCCTGTAAACAAGGCTCAGTACATTTTGCAGCTATTTTTTACTCTAATTTAGTCTTTTCTTGGTCTTATTCGTCAAATGGCATCGAGTCCTGCACGAGGCCCACCACTTAAACCCTTTCCAATGCACCGTGAGCATTTTTTTGCACAGATCTGCTCCATGTATCCTCAAATTTCCATTTTTATCATTTCGTCTTTCCATAATGAACCACGTTTCCTCGTGTGCAAGCGCGTAATCTTTATAGTCGTGTTCAGTTCACACAAATGAGACATTCACAGCAATGACAGTCTCATTTACCATCTTTGTCACATTTCATGATGGTGTCCATCAATTATTCATTCTATAGTATATTTTTCTACTACGCTTTCAGTCGCTCATCACTGCTGCTGCACACACCGCTTCATTCTTCCCGTTACTACTCACCAATTTTGTGCCTCTCCATGGCACAGTGCCGCGCTCTACAGTGATGTATTTTTACCTGTTCAGTTCACCACCATTACCATGCTGTCCTACGGTTCTTCTCCTTCATGCTCTTTACCGTTCATCTTCTATTTCTGTGTCATCTCCAGGTTGCAGTGCTCATCTCTTAGACTCCCAATCTAAAACCAATTTAATTATCAGCTGTCAATTATTTCCACGAATTGGCGGGCAGGTGCACTTATTCAAGGATTTTAAAAGAAACGATGGTATAACCGTGCAGAGATCGCTTGGTTCTTAGTGATGAGCATACCCACGTACATAGGGTGTGTATGAGTATTAAATGTGTACAAATTGATCTTCATGTTCGAATGCGCTGAATTTGGTCTTAAAAAAGAGGAAATAGTAAATTTGTTAGTTCAGGTCGTTCTTTGTCGCGTATTGTGGATTAAAGCGCATACTGTTTTTAGAAAAGTAAAAAATACGAAAATCGCACAGCCCAGCAGATTTACCACGTACATATTCTTAATTTCCCTAGTGCAATGAAAGCTTTCGTCCTCCGTGCAAGTTATTTGGTCTATTCGACGTGATAACCAATAACTGATCATGTTCCATTTGTTGCGCTCGTAGAACTGATCAACGAGTGTTACCACGGTACTTTGAGCGTTATAATCGTGTGAACGTGTTTTGGTGTGCGATACAACAACATGCATGTTAATGATGGCTAGGTATAGCACCGCACCAAGTATCCACGATGCGCACCGGTAATAATCTTTGTTCCTGTTAAAAGTGGACGAGAACTACCGTCTCGTATTATACTGTGGTATCAAAATCTTTGGATACATTCCTTTAAAGAAGCGTATAAGGTGGTGCGCTCGGATGGTATGTCGGTATGAGCAGGTGATGTGAGATGCTCCTCCTGTATTTTGGTGTAGAAACGGGTGTGTGTTCAGAGCTGATATGCGTTCATACGCTTGAACACCAAAATGCACGAATCGTGCTAGAGTTGAGAAAATGAGCGCAATTTAATACACAAATAATCAAACACTCACACTTAGACAAGCAGTTTGTGGTCAGAGATGTTAATTATGGCGGAGATAACGATTCTGTCACGGATAACCAATGCTAAAGCAAAGTAGATAATTTACCATAATTAGCGAATACCAAAAAAGATATTGATTTTTCATTTGGTCTATACCTACAGGCTAGAATTAAAAGAATGGACCACATAAAATGCTGTAAAGACAAAAAATTTGCTATTTGTTCACCATTTATTGTGACAACTACGGATTATTCTGCTGTTGCTCTGTTTTTGATTGGCATACTCGCATGCAATTACTTACTATCATGATCGAGCACACATCGTTTTAATCGTTTGAACCATGGCTATCGGTACAGGTAAGCACGCCAGTTCCTATTCGTATTTTATTTCATCCGTTCATTGATGCTGTGAGCGATTCGTATCTGCACATCCGTTGTTGTACCTGCAGTACAGCACAAAGCTTCCGGTCAGAGATAGAAATACCTTTTACAGGCAAAACAGCACGTGCCAAAGGTGTTCACAAGGTTGTGTAGGCTTATGTACTGTGTTAGACCGTACGAGAGTTAATCAGGATCGCTTGTATGGCGGCCATGAACCGTAGTTCAGATCAAACGGAGTAATGAACGATTTGTGAACACGTGCACTCAGTAGGGATATAGGGAGTGTGTCATGGCAGATGGAAGACTTGAACAAAAAGAGCTCTCACTCCGAGAATCGAACTCGGGTCACCAGCGTGACAGGCTGGTATGCTAGCCGCTACACCAAGCGAGATCTGAGCACTCCGCATCAGTAGCTCCATAAAATACCAAATTTAATGGCTCAGTACACCTTTTGATTGCACACTAAGCAACAGCATTTTACATCAGTACCGTGTTCTAGTCCATTACCAACGGGTGTCTGTCTCTGCAATGGTTGAGAAATAGTGGCAAATATAAAAACACGTTGCTCACTTCTATTCCTTGTAACATACCCAAACACGAACAGTTGTGCAACATCGATTCTTTTCATCTTTTTTTTCTGATTTTGGTCCTTATTTGCTGCTGTTAGCAGCAACCCATCACACCTTTTCTCAGAGAACAGCTGCCAGAAGAATACTGCGCAAGATGTGGCTCGTTGAAGAGCGGCAGTTGATTTGATAAGGTTATCACGATAGAGTGGTCACGGAAATATGCGTTCAAACAGGACATGCGCAAGAACGTGGCGGGCAATAAATCGCTTATCGGCAGTTTCCAAGATGTGCTTCGCGTATCAACATTAAAAGGCCTGTACCAGCACAAACGAGTCCTGTTCGATAAAACACATCATAAGAACGTAGCAGCACCGCACAGCACTGACCCTGCTCAGCTCTCACCGAAACGTCCTTTCCATTCTTTTTGCACATTTTCCTTGCCCTTCGAATGCTCAACCAATCCACGATATCAGCGTACCACGATCTTCTGCTCACAACCAATGACCTTTCATCTGCTGTGGCATCTATTCTTACGTCTCCGGTGTTCCAGGAGTACACCAACCTGTCAACGCTCATCAGCACGCTGCTCAAGAGCCCGTTTTACGTGCACCGGCTAGCCGTGTGCTACCTGCTTCCCCACGCCAGCAAGAGCGTGTTCTACGCGCTTTTCAACGATAACATACAGCTGGTATGCCGTACAGCGATGGAATTGTTGCCGGCCGGCATGCTGACCCACAGCGAGATACTGGTGTGTTTGGAAGCGCTGGAACAGAAGAACGATTATTTGCAGTGCGGAGCAGTTGATCTGCTCTCCAAGTTGGATGTATGGACCGATAGGATTCACTACTTCTTGAGATCGGTGTCGTGGCGCGTACGTTTCTCGCTTGCCAAGAAAATTGATAAGCTGAGTGTGTTTTACAGGGACGTGTACGATGCTCTGAAGGACGATGATGTGCTGTTCATCAAGAAGGCGATGATCTGTGCGTTGAAGGATGATGATATTCTTTATTTTCTCAGGTCTGAAGATGAGGAAATTAGATGCGAGGTTGTTAAGGAGATATGGAAACGAACAGCGGATGGAAGCGGATTTGCGTACTTAAAGGACTGGATTGAGCGTGGGAATGAGGACTTGAAGGACACGATGGAGGGAAGCGAACTTACACGTTCAAACGACCTGGGCAATGGAAAGGGCATCAAACGTAGAAGTACGGCCAAAAAGAGCGATAAGGATAAACAAGGCGGTAATAACGAGCAAGAAAATACGAAAGACATGAACGAACCGATCTCTGATCGCTCACATGCACCAATGAATGATGAGGAGCACGTGTACCTGGCAGTGTCTCGTGCGAGGGATGAGATGACCGTGGAGGAGTACACACAGTTAATCACGGATACGTGCCCTGATGTTCTCAAATCAGATCTGCCCTCTTTCTTGATGAAAGACCCGTCATCAAAGGTGAAGTTTCATCTTTTGAAGCTGCTTAAGACCAAGAATCTGGTCCAGCAGTTCATCAACAGCAGTGACTGGCGAGAAAGAGAGCAGGCCCTCGAATATTCTCTTGATAGCGACCTTTACTTCAGTTTCTTGGTGGATCCGGTTGCACAGGTACGTTATAAAGCGGCTATGTCATTTCAACAGCCGCTAAATGCAGCAACGATCGGCAACTTAGGAAAGATCGTGCATTCTGATAACTACCTGCACAGGATAAACGTGATACACGTGCTGGTGAGCAATGCGAACGAGAGTATGAGGGAGTTGCTTGATGTACTGTCCAGGGACAAGATCGTGAATGTTAGGGAAAAGGTGCTGAGTGTGATTGAGAGTGAGAAAGCGGTGTATTACAGCAGCATTGTTGAGCAGATGGCTGATGATGAGAATGAGGAGGTGTGTAGAAGGGCTGAGAGGGTGTTGCGCGTGTTAAAGGGCCTGTGATGAAAGTACAGGGGTCCAAGACGAAGATGTTGAATAAAATGAGGTGCGGGGTAACAAAGTAAGGGCAGAAGCACTGAGAATGAAAATCACCAGATGAATGTATTAATCGATGGTAGGTTGTAATTTAAATGTACAATGATCGGCAAATAAACGCTTTATAATACGTTCATTCATTTTTTCGTATTTTGATCGTGTAACACACGATCAAGCATTTCTACCAGGAACAAAAGCACCGATGTGATAAGAACATTTTATTTTTACACCGCAGAGCGGAACATTCATCGTTACCGACACTGCTTGGACGGTGGCAGGGAAAATATGCAAAGGTTTTGATGCGCAGGTACGTGCTGTACATTTGCACCACCGATCCGCGCCTGTCATTTGCTGCCTGCTTGCCAGCAAATTATATGAAGGGCATCCACCCAACGTACATTTGCACCACCGATCCGCGCCTGTCATTTGCTGCCTGCTTGCCAGCAAATTATATGAAGGGCATCCACCCAACGTACATTTCACCCAAATTGCCATCGTCAACAGCTTCCGCTATCAACCGATCAACGATGTCCTCCCCGTCCATCTTCCGAAACAGCGTGCTTATCATATCTCCGGGCCGTTTTATCTCTGCTATCGGATCATAAACAAATGCCAGCAAGTTCGCTTCAATCACATCCCTGAACCTGACAATCGTGCGTACCGTGCTTTGCACGTAGTACCTGAACTTGCCCGTTTCACGCAGCACGCCCAGACACTCGCGCACATTCTTTGTGAGACGGAAGGGTACTCGCTCGGGCACGCTCAGCTTTTTGGCACGGTCAAACAGCAAATTGAGGTCGACATGCACCACATCGCCCGTTTTTGTGTCTATCAGGATGTTTTCACAGTGGCGATCGCCCAGACCGATGAAATACCCAAAGGCACACATAATTGCAAGCGTCTTGGTGTAGTTGTGCCTTGCGATGTGCCACTTGATCGGGTCCTTGTACGTATCGTTGTACCATGTGCTCAGCACGCTCTTAGTCTTGCGGTTAAACACAGGAAAGTCCTTTCCAAGTTTCTTCTTGTATTTTTTGAAGATGTGCGACACGATTTCCTTGTTCTCGTTCGCCAGGCAGATGTTCTTGAGCGATATGAGGCCGTCTATCCACTCGATTATTCCCAGCTTTGAGGAGAACGGCACCACCACGTACTTTCTTATCTTTAGATCGCATTTTATGAGCAGATCAAACAGTTCTATCACTCTCTGGTCCTTCCTCAAATCATCGTTTGCCTTGACAAGGAACGACCGTCTTCTTCCGTTCTCGTCCACGAATGCGATCTTCTTCGGTGATTGCAGTGATTTGAACACCACGATTCTCTCATCGTACGATGTAATCGTTGCCAGCGTGATACCTCCTCTTATCACTTGCCCTCCACGCGTGCTCGCTTGTTTGTCTAAATTCATCTCTGCCTGCCCGTTACCGATATTTGTTCCTTCACTTCTCCTTTTATATCCTCGGGTATTTCGCACTTTCCCGTGATCAGCGATCATCTCATCATCAGGTCCTAAATTCGTTTTAGTGCCACTGCTGTGCTCACCGTTACCACTTCCCTGCTTGTCACCCGTGCGCCCCACTCCATTTCCATGCCCCACTCCATTTCCATACCCCACTCCATTTTCATCACGCAACTCATTACTAACCGGTACAGGCACCATAAACCGCTTTATCTCTTCATAGTCCCCAACACCAATGCTCGCCCTCTTATCGCATCCTATCCGCTCCAACACCATCACATACTCGTTCAACACCCACAATACGTCCGTAGCACACTCTAACACGTTCATCATTCTTCCCTTAATTTCTGCTTTTTTATTGTTAAGGAATGACAGGCTTTGCCACACGCACAGCCATGGGCTGTGTTTCACGAGGGGGTGCACGAGGTGTGTAAGTGTTGATGAGATGCGTTCGTTTGGGTGCGATATTTTTGAAATTATGGAGAGGTAGAAGCGTAGAATGCTGTCTGTACGTACGTATTGGTGTATTTGTGATATGTTTGGTGTTCTTATAGCGGTATTTTTGTGATGCACGGCGGTACTATCCTTATTTTTTACCGTTCTTGTCTTTCCATCCTTACTCACGCTTTCCCTTCCACACGTGTTCTCACCTACGCCATTCTCACGCGTACTTTTGGTGCCATCCACACCATCGCACATCTTCTCTCCACAGCCATGCTCAGTGAACAGATGCAGTGCCCGTGGAAAGGCCTCCTCAAAATAACGCTCACCATACCGCATGCTCTCCAGATACAATGCATAGCTCGTTTGTCTATCGATACCTTCCATCAACTTTGCCTTGTAAAACAGCACTTTCTCGTTTCTTCCCAGCCGTTCTATCGCATCTTCGAATGCTTCCAAGGTGTTACGTTTCAAGGTGCGAGCAATCACCGATTGCCTGTAGAAATGTGAGCATGATGACCGGTAGTACGCCGTATTTTTTAAGGAACCGAACCTGGTCGATTTATCGTGCACGTCTTTTGATGTGCTCCTGCGTGCCGACCGATCGTTTTGTATTTTATGTGTGGACTGATCCTCTGCACTATCATCGATTAACCCGTTCTGTGCACCTCTCGTGCTATCCGCTGGTATTTTCCTACCATTTTCTGTGCTATCGTTGCTACCACTGCCACTATTTCTCATCATTTTTTCGTTCGTCTCCCCTTCGCCTCCCACTTTATTCTCCCCGCCATACATCGCCAGCTTGTCAACAGCCCTATCAAAGTAGAACATTTCACCGCTCCTCCATCCGTAATAATACAGCGCACGCCAATCACCTCGTACCATCATCTCAACAAGCATTTTCTCGCTCTTACCAGCCAATCCCTTTCTAAAGCACCATTCAATGCGATCAATCTGCAACTCGTCCTCAAATACAACATCAACATGCGCACTGCTGCGCACCATTGCGCAGTGCAGCCGTAGCATCTTGTGCATGTCGAGCATCGCCCGTCTTTTTTGTGTGATAGTGCCGTAATTGCCCATCCTTGCGCAGTACAGATCGTGTATAAAATGAATGCGTGTCAGATTATCGTTCGTTATACCATCCGTTTGGTACGCGCTCATCAGTCCGTTTAAATCGATGGGGTGTGTCCGAGTGGTGTGCGATTTGTTGCCGTCTACCGAGGCTACCGGGTCATCACCCGTAAAATTCTTCTGATCAGTACGGCCATCAAAAGCAGTTCTATGATCAAAATATTGAGCACAGCATTCATCGCTACCAACGTAGTCATCATTCCACCGTTCCATCCCCTCATTCACCTCCTCTATGTCTATGAACGTATCACTTTCATCCTCATCGCCGTATCCCCGCGTTTTAAACGCAAGTAAAAGCGTGGTTTCATCAAATTTTACCCTGCTCAGCGCACTCAGGGAAAGAAAGTCCTTTGAACCGTAATATGCGTGCTGTAGCAGGTCGAGGAGATCGTTCGCCGTGTACTCGTTTGTACCGGTAGATGGGTCATCAGCACTGGTGATGGTATTCTCGTTTTCGTTGCCCAATTCATCACCCCTGCCCAGGCAGTCCTCACCTAACACCCCATCTCCACCAAAACCATTCCTACCAACACACAACCCATAGCTCTCAAAAACACGCTCAACAATCTTTTCAACGGCACACCACGCCTTTCTCCTAACAGCAGCGCTCAACGCCCATCTCCAATGCACACTCCCCCCATAAAAATAGCCTGCCATCACCAAATCATCATCGCTCACATCAAAAACAACCTTACCATAAAATTTCATACAATACAACGAGAAGTACCGCCGTATGGTGCTGTCTGTAAAGAGCGCACCAACACGCAGCACTTCATCGTTCTTTTGCAGTGCTAACGTGCTCAGCGCATCGTTGTGTCCGTCTCCTTTTAATTCGTATTTCGTGGCGGTGTACGTTTTGAACACGCTACGCTTTGTTACGTGCAGCAGGCTCAGATTGATGTGTTTGAGGAGCGTTTGAATGGCGTAAAAGTAAATTTCGATCGGTTCTACGATTTGTATGAGGAGGTTCTCGAGCAGAAGTTTTATGAACTGTGGTTTGTTTTGGAAATTGAAGTAATCCGGGAAGTACCCCGGTGTAGAGCGGCAGATAGCTGTGTTGACGGTACGGTATGGCGTATTGGGATGAGCACCGCTTATAGGAGGGTTAAATAAGGCGCAGCACTGCGTATTACGCATACCCCTCATCACATCAAAGTCTAACACGCCCATGCCCCCCATCACATCCCTGCAATCCACCAAATCATCCTCCCCATCGCCACACCTAAACACCCCAGAATACCCCACCCTACCAATCACCTCATAGTACCCATACTTGTACAGCAGCCCTACACAGCCATCATCGTACCACCCGTACTCTCTGCTAACCCTGTACGCAGCTATCATCTCCGTGTACTCCCCCTTCACACACAGCAATCGTTCCAATACGCACCATCCATTCTGTTCCATCTCCTCATTTGAAAGGAACACTGCGAGCTGCGCGTGCTCCTTGGCATTGAGACGGGCGGTGTACGAATGGATGAACCGTGATAGATCGTGTGCATGGATGCCGTAGAACGAGAGTAGCAGGGCATCGATGTATGTGCTGTTCATTGCCTTGTTACTGCATGTTTTGCTATTTAGTTTGTTCATTTCATTTGAATCGTCTGTTTTACACATCTCCTCGCTCTTCATTCTGCTATTGCTCATCCCGCCATCAGTTCCCTTTATCACCGCACCTGTCCCCCTCATCCCAGCATTTATCACTCCCCGGTGCCTAAGCCGTACAATCTCCCGCATCCTTTCGTGTTCCCTCATCATAAACCACTCCACAAAAACGTACACCTCGTAGTAAACGCTCTCCAAACACTCAAACACGGATAAAACGCTCATGAGATCGTGCAGCGACCCTCCATACCTCTTCAGAGTGTACAGCACGGGTGTAATGTTGCCACGTATCACCTGCACTACGTTCTCATCGTTCATCCATTTTTCACCGGTTCTCATGGCGTGTATTACCAGGCTCTCCAAATCGAAGTGGATCGATTTGCTTTGCTCCGCTAGCACCGTGCTGTGCACCTTTTGTAGCATCAAACGCTGTTCATTGATTGTGAAGAGGCTGTTGATGAGCTGCTTTAGGGCGGGCATGCGCTCTGCGCTCGTAGTGCACTTCTTACCCCGTTTAACTACCGCATCAAATTTTTCATCATATCTCGTGCCACATTTCGCTCTACCAAGCGTACTACAGCACAGCTCCTCATACTCCCTCTCCTCCCATTCTCCGCACTCATAAATTGTGTGCCCAACACACACCAAGCACTCCTTGATACTCTCACCCATCAGATAGCACAGCAGCAGCACCTTCATTCGATCCCCTTTCAGATGCTCTACCACGCTCTTTACGCTGTCCCTGTAGAAGGTGCACACCTTGATACGATGCATTTCATCATCCGTGAGCACGAGCCGCGCACTTTCGAGCACGAACAGCAAAATGTACGTTAAGGATTTGCGTGTGAGCTTGCCGTAGTGTATTACCGCCTTGATGGCTGTGCTTATGAATGACAAAGAATCGTGCGCATGCATTGCACCGCTGATACCGCCCTTTCTTGTCGTACTATCGGTCATGCCGGTTTTTCCGGCTATACCGCTCTTAACGCCATCACAACTCTCAATTATTGTATCGATCGTTCGACCGGCCACACACCGCCTCAAATACCGTTTTATACTTCCCACGATGTCGATTTCGCTCGTTTCCATGATCTGTATCACCGTAAAGTCTTTGATCTGGCCGAATTTTATTCCTCGGTCGTGCATTCTTGTGTACGTTAGATCACAGTCTTTGCAGTTCATCCGTACAAAATTGAACTGCGGGATTTGTCTGTTGCACCATTTGCACCGATAAGCAGTGCTGGTCCGCTTTTGTTCCCTTGTACTGCTTGGTGCACGATTGCTGTGCCGTTCTTTGTGTTGGTTCCTGTTTTGATCGCTGCATTGGTCCGCATACCGGTCGCTGTGCCGTTCTTTGTGTTGGTTCCTGTTTTGATCGCTGCATTGGTCCGCATACCGGTCGCTGTGCCGATCATTCTCTTCGGTCCCATGCTGCTCCTCATAATGATTGCTGTGCTTGTCCAGGTCATTCCCTATCCCTGTATGTTTACGGTGCTCCTCTCTGCTATCGTCCAACACTTCATTCCTCAGGCACCCTTTGCCAGACATGCTGCCGCTTATCCCATCGCTTTCTGCTCCCTCGCCACCATTCATACACCCAAAGCACGTCCTGCCATCAACCACTCCATTCTCAATACAGTGGTGCGCACACGAACAGTCACTCAAACAAAATATCAAATTCGTGTCCATCAATCCGTAGTAGCACATCTGCTCGCGCGTGATCCTCCGATTTACAACTCGCTGCACCCGCACATCACCATACACGCACTCGTCCGGTGCCTTCAGGCCTGAACACGCACTCAAACACAGCTCATTCACAATTGTGCGTTGCGCACCGCGCCATGCACACCCACTCACACACAAAAGAATGAGAATGTCGCGTTGTGTGCACCATTCGCACGCCAATAGCACGTCCATAATGTTTTTTGGATGGCTGGCCTGGATTACAACGGCCAGCAGGTAAAATTGGCGGAGATCCTTCAGGTCTATGGTTGACGGCTTGATGGTTAACGTGTATGTGTTGATGAGGTACTGATGGAGCAGGTAGTTGGTTGGGTGTGTGGATATGAATTGGGTGTGGACGGGTGTAAACTGGGAGGGACTGATCAGGTGGTGGGGGTACTTTGATATATGGGACATTCTGTTGTAGTAAAGGATTTCTGTGCTGATATTAATGACCGGTTTGACGGGCTGTGAACGATTCGTTGCTTTATTGACCTGGGTTGCTCCCTTGATTTGAGTTTCGTTCTTGACCTGACCAGGCATGCCGACCTGGTAATCGTGATCCGTCTCTTTTTTCTGTTCTATGGCACGATTAATCTCGTCCTCAGATTTCCGTTCATTTTCCCTTCCATAAACCTTAAACCGCTCACAATCCCTGCAATACCCCGTCAAACCCTCCATCCACCCGAAAACACGTTCCCTAATCAAAAAGAAATTACACTCAGAAACGCGCACGCTTCCCAAAAACTGCCAATCAATCTCTGCGTTTACACCTATCTCCTCAAATATCACCGTAAGCACCGCATTGGCACGATCACCGTCCGTATCCATACACACCATCTCCAGCAACTTGTTGGTGAGCAATGAATCGCTAAACCGTACGAGTGTTTTGGCGAGCTGTTGGTAGTTTGCAAGGGATAATCTGCTGAGATACAACGATTTCAGATTATCAATTTTCATAAGGGTGTGAAATGCGAGCGGTTGGAAAAGACGCCTTCTTGATTTTGTGTTCCGTGTTTGGTAATGTTCTGAGCGGGCGTACTGTGGTGGCCGTTATATGTTAATTTGACGTTCTATCTCACGTTTTTGCAGCATCATTATTTGTTTAAATGAGTAGAACGTGGGCCGTTTCAGTTGGTCCTTCTAAATGCTGTGCATGCAGGACTTATCCGCCTGGTCGTTGCTTGTATGCCATTTTTACTGTCATGCACACGCATAATTTATCTTAATTAATTTGTTTATGCAGTGCTATATCATAGAAAATACGCTGACCAACAAGGAAACAGATGTAACTGCCATGTACAGCAGTTTTTGTCGTTGCTAAATATGGTCGTGCCAGCAGATAAAGGTTGATAGCTGCCATCGGATCTGTTGGACCAGGAAGATACATTAATTTGTTTTGTGGTGCACTGGTAAATAAGTACTAAATTTACTTGCTGCGATGTAACTGATAGGCGTAAAACGGGCACGGCAAATATCTGTACTCGAAATGAAAAAGTAAATACTTTCGTCTTGTGGTGAGTAGTGAGAGCGCCTTCTTATGAAAGAATGTTATTGCGTATCCTCCGCGTAATTCCAGAGGAGGGAAAGTAGTGGCGTATTTTCTGTGAATGCAGTCAACTATCATTACGAAAGGAACCTCTGTATGCACCATTAATGGATAAAGTGTGTTGAAATAAAATCTTAGCGCATTTGGGTTTTTGGCACATTAATTTATTTCTGTTCCTTGCAGGAACACTTTTCCACCGTATTACCACAATGTTGGTCAAATATTGTGTTTGAAATGTTCATATCACTTTCTTAGGTCGTATAAAACAGTACATGCTCAGTAACAGCTATTCTTTAGTTGTTACACTGGCTAGTACGAAAAATTGTATGAGAAGGACATAATGGTGGAGTATCGATGATTTACTCGCCTATGATTGGATGCATCTTATAAGAAAAGGGAATAGCACCTGCTATTTTATAAGCATTTTAAAGATTTCATACCGAAGTACAAGTAACCTAATGATTTATACCAGGTTTATTAGAAATTGACATGGTAGGCGTTCCTACAGAACTATTTCTCAAATCACCATTTCAGCTTTTATTTATTTTACACTCATTCCGTGCCAAAGGAATAAAACTTTGTATCAAAGAGCTCAGAAATAATCAGATTGTTAAAGAATGCTATTAACTTATCATGTCAGAGTCTTTCATGCTAATTAAAATTTTTTGTTCTCAGCAACGAGCATAACTCAACAAGTCCATTTCATAGAAAGACGTGCAACAACTCCTTCTACCGATGTATGTTCATTTATTTACATGTCATATAATTGAGGAAGTTGCACCTCTAATTTCTAAGAGTTCTGTAGTGGAGAATGCAAGTAAATCTGATCATGTAATGGTTTTGGATCGTAGCACATACCGATCACGGTTAGTCCAGGGAATGAAGTATGCAGTCAACCACTTCACATATCTTTCAGTGTATCGAATAGCATTTTGCTTTTTAGTACTTTTCTGTCATTTCAAGAATTATGAATGAACAGAAGGAGAACAGCACAGTAACATGTTAAATAAGAGAATACGGTAAAAAAACGTAACAGATGGTTTTATACAAGTATGACGTAATTACAAGATGAAACGATCAATTCGGACCAGATATTTTGTTCTACCGGTATTTCGTTACTATCGATTGGTCACATATCCTATTCTAATTTATTGACGTAAAGTAATGTCATCTTTTAAATTGATTGATCATGTTTTTATATCAAGAATGAGCACAGCACATGCATCTTATTGGTTGTTAAAAATGTTGCTCTTCATGGAGTGCTTTCTATTCGTATTCATTTAGATAGATTGGTAAAGTAGTTTTTTCTCTTGAAATCATTGAAGTGTTTTTATAAAGACAAAATATATAATTTTGATAAATCAACATTTGTGAACATTTAATTACTTAGATCTTGTAATTTCTCTTTTTGGTAGTAAAAAGGCTTTTCGTGCAGATTAGCACCAAAAGCAATAAAAAGAAGTAATTAATGCATTGAAGCAGCAAATAAATTTAGCATCAACTTCAAATAAAAGATAAAGAACGCATTCGTATGATCGTACCTGTTGCATGCAGTGCAGCTGTTAGTACATCACCTCGCAAATGAAACTCAAGACAGTTTCTTTCATTGAATTGTTCCAAGCTAATTTATCGTATGTAAACGCACCGTCTTGATGTTTTTAAACAACCTCGTTTGCAAGAAAATTTGTTCTCCTTTCATTTATCTGTTGAAAGGAGTGTCTTCATATCTAAATGATAACGAAAAAAATATAAATAGAAGAAAAACAGAGAGGGCATGCATTTAGTTCTTGGTATTGCGCTTTTGTTCTTTGGACTTTCTGTTCCTGGGGTGCACTGCAGCAAAGATGACCCTATTAAGTTTGTGAGGAAGGATGAAACGATAATAAAAAATCTGAATGACAAAGAAAAAGAAATAAGTGAAGCAGCTGAGGAGGTATGCGAATGCTTAGGAGACATTGTTTCTGAAGTAACAAAATCAATTGAGAGTATAAATGCAGTCTTTGATAAGCATACGGTTGTAAACCTTGCCGAGGAAGACAAAGAGGATATTAAGAAGAAAATCATGGAGAATTTAGATGGTATGTCGCCCGAAAACGTGGTCAAGGACATAGTGGATTGTTATTCGGTAAAGTCGTGTGATGGGCTTTTGTACAAGTCTCTAAATTCGGATGCTTCGGAGTTTAGTATCAGTCAGAAGGGTACTTGTGAGTCTTTAAGACAGCTTATAGGGTTCACAAATCTCTTTCTCATTCCGTTGAGAAAATGTGGAGCAGGTTTGAATGAAGAAATCAAAATCATTACATTTGAATCAATCGAAAAGGTTGAATCAAGCTTTGGTAAACTTCTCGGGGTGTTTGAAGATGAGAAATTAGCTTCGATTTCGAAGGACACATTTACAGAGATCAGCACACGTTCTACTCAAATGATTAATTCGGTGAAGTCGCTTTGCAAAAAAGCTTTTCCTGAGGATGCTAAGAGTGAGCTCTACAAACTAGTTCAGGAAAAAGAAAGTTTTACCACAAAAGAGTTTTTCAAGGCTCTTGGAATCGAAGTAGAACCGGAGAAACCCACAGAAATGAATCCCGCTGATCCTGTAGCCGGTTCTAAATCTCAGAGTGCCGCAGAGCCAGGTAAAGAAACAATAAGTGAAGAACTAAAAGGTAAAGAAACAACAGGTGAAAAAACAACAGGTGAAGAACCAAAAGGTGAAAAGGCGACAATTAAGGACGAAGCGAAAGGCTGGTTTGCTAGGAACAGAGTATGGGTGTTGATTGCTACATTGGTTGTTGTTGTGCTTGCTGCAGTGGCTCTTGCTGCCGTTTACTACACCAGACGATCAAATAAGTAAAGATGGTCATTTAAGTTCATTATTGCTGCGTTTTCTTTGTATTGGTCTTATTGTGACATATTCGTTGTTCGGCGAGGAGTAGGCGTTTTGAGGTAAGCATAGTTTTTTGAAGTAAGGTTATTAGCGTTTACGTAGATTCACGTATGTTTACCGTTTTTAATAGGTTCAGTAAGTTGGGCACCTCGAGTCATAGTTTGCGAGTTAGAATCGGTGCTGTGGTTGCAACATATCTTTCTGTTATTGTGAGGGTGTGTATGAAGGCGTAGTACAGGATGGTGTACAATGTCCTCTGTGAATGTGGTGAGAAAAGATAAATAAATGATATGTAGCAAAGAACAATTTTATACACTTTCTAACTTCCACATCATCAACAAAAACACTGTTTAAACAAATTACAATGCTTGTTGAACTGAGCAAACAAACCTTTAGTCGAAAAACTGCAAAATATGAATTTAACCGAAATTACGATGGCACTCACGCATTTCGAGTAATTATAGAACGAATTTACTGTGCAAAGATAATAAAGTGTGTTGCATAGTCAAGCATCCTCGCTTTACTCCCCTCCATGCCAAGTATATAAACGAATGTAACACATGCTATGATCCGTTTCATATGCATGCTGCTGGTCAATTCACATGTATTGAATGAAGCTATGTCACAAAAAAAGACATGATAACCATGTCTTAGTTATAAAGCACTGCTGATTTTATTTCACACAACTTTTTTACCTCACATGATCAAACGAGAGGTTTTCAAATTTTTCAACATTAAAGAAAAGATAATTCCTGAAAATGTGGTCGAAGATCTGTTCATAGAAAAGATGGATGGTTGGACGGAAGAGAAGGGCGTCTTCGCTTTTTATTTAATTGATAATTATAAATCCAGCTACTCGCTAGATTTCAAACAAAAAATACTCTCATACCTGTCTATGGTCTTGCTCAACCCCGATGTTGTGTCCCAGAGCAGTTTCGTGCAGGAGGCAGGCCTGCTCGTTCTCATGAAGAGGATACTTGACGAGTGTGATCTTTCCTATCAGCGGGTCTACGATTGCTTGAAAGACCTAGCTGAGTATGGTGATGAGGAAAGTGCTATGAAAATCCTGATCCCGTTGATATACCAATGCAGCAAAGAGGCATCGAAATTGAATCTTTTAGAAAATTTTGCGAAGTATTTGAATGCTGTGATGATGCTCATCACCATTGAAAAGGTGCAGGTATGGTTTTGCGATGAATTTATCTGGGTCTGTGCGACTCTCAGCTGTTCGATGGCAATGATTATTATCGTGGTTTTGTGTACGAAACGAACTGTCCGTGCTTTCTTGACGGGTTCATGGAGGTATTCATCTACGAGAAATCGGATATTTTACATGTGCAGAGTTTTTCATGTGAAATGATAGCTCAAAAGATGATGAGTCAGTTTGAAAGAATTTAATATTTTTATTTCACATTTCTACATACGATAAAGCTAAATATTGCAGTTCAATTCTTTTCTTCGAAAACTACTCAACAGTCCTTTACAAATAATACCAAAATTACGTGATTGCTTGCCAATGGTTAATCAAACAATCCCACCAAAAGATTCAAAACAAGTGAAAAGACCTAAACATGACATATTAAAGGAGTGAAACATTATTTAATAGGCAATTACGCTTTGTTTCATGTTCTAAACGAAAATAGCGCAGTTAATTATAAATGAACCTACTTTTGGTAGAACTATGATCATTTTTTAACATATAGCACGCAATATCTTTAATTCGGTATTAAACATGGCTCATCAATAACAAATGAATGGAAGTATTTTCCTTGTTCTGATCATCAGCTCGTTTTTTCTTCCTTGTCAATCACATTTTGCCACACGTTCTGTTTCAAACCAATAAAATAAACAAAAAACACCCGTACCCCTCACCACAACGACAGACGAGATGCATCTCCCGCATTCAAAGAAATACGGTATAACCGGTCCGCTATCCGTCAAGGAGTCACCAGAGGATGACATCGCCCGCTCATCCTCTCTTCAAGCATTTTTGCTTTCCTCAAAAATATACGAAACGAACGAGGAAGCAATAACACGAGAAAGAGTGTTGGGCAGGCTGAGCTATATGTTTGATAACTTTATAAAGGCGATCGGGACGAAAAAGGGGCTCACTGACAGCGATATCAAGGCAGCGAGCGGCCGTATCTACACCTTCGGCAGTTACAGGCTCGGTGTGCACGCACGAGGATCTGATATTGATACGCTTTGTGTTGCGCCCGTGTATGTGGACAGAAAAGAGTTTTTTGAAGAGTTTTACAGCATGCTGAGTGACGTGTTCGCAGAGGTTGAGAAGGTTGAAGACGCGTACGTGCCGCTTATGCAGCTGGTGTACAGGGAGCATAGGATTGATGAGTGCGAAGGATGCGGTGCTATGAGCGGTGATGGTAATAAAATGGATATTTCGAACACTGCTGTTGATAAAATCGGGTCTCCGCACTCATGTGATGAACTTCAGGGCTACAAGAGGCTGCGTACGAATAATGAACGGATTGTGGATGTACATCCGGGGAGTAGCGAGAAAAAAGAAGATGGCGGCGATGAAGTGTCAAGCCAGACGCACAGCAGTGAGCACACCGTAGGTTTGCGGGTGGTGCCTGCAAACAACGGAGTGCTGAAGGATGTTTTTGGCGAGCAGCAAGCGAAAACATCAGAACGATCGAAGCACAACGAGAAAACTGACAAGGAAGACGAGTCTGCACATAATAGAGAAAGCAAGACTAGGAAAGAACTGAACAGCATAGCTGATGAGCAGCTAGATACACAGCAAGAGAACAGAGCTACGATTACACACGGTACCAGCACAGGTTTAAATAAAGAGATGATAGAAATAAAAATTGACTTGGTGTTCGCTCGTCTTAACGTCTTCAAGATCGATAGCTCGCTCAACCTTCTGGATTCGTCCCTGCTCAAGAATTTGGACGAAAAGAGTGTTCTCTCGCTGAACGGTAACCGAGTGACCGATGAGATATTATCGCTCGTTCCGAACAAAAAGGTATTCCATGGCGCTCTGCGATGCATCAAATACTGGGCGAAAAGACGAGGACTGACCGGTCATCTGTACGGATACTTTGGTGGTGTTGCGTATGCAATATCGGTAGCGCGGATCTGCCAGCTCTTTCCGAACATGTGTGAATACACGATGATCTGCAAATACTTCGAACTGTACAAGGAGTGGAAATGGCCCACACCGGTGATGCTGAAAAAGATCGAAAATTTGAACTACAATCTGAAAGTATGGGATCCCAAGATACATCCAAGCGATAAGTTCCACAAAATGCCGGTCATTACGCCATCATATCCTTCCATGTGCTCAACGCACAACATCATCAATTCAACCATGAAGAGATACAAGGAGGAACTGGAGAGGGGACACAGGCTATTGGCCGAGGGAAAGGAATGGAAGGAATTTTTTAGGAGCACCGATTTTTTCCAGAGGTACAAGAGTTTTCTGGCTGTGTTCATTCTTTTGAAGAGGAAGAGGGCTGGCGATGCTATCTGCGGTGCGAATACAAAAGATGGTGCAAGCAGAAGATTTGTGAACGAAAAGGAGCAAAAAAGTGGTATGCAAACCAGCAACACCAATGTTGCAGGTGTTAGGGATGATGAGAGCGCCAAAGAGGCAAGTTTACATAAAATGTGGCAGGGACACGTTAATTCACGTATACGTTTTCTTAGCACGAAATTAGAAACTGTGGAGCAGCTGGACTCAGCACCTCCCTTTCCTCAAACATTTGATATTTGCGATTTTTCGGTTTGTCATCGCCTGGATTTCATCCCAAAGAATTCGCTGTGTTCAGTAACGTTTATTGCCCTGGATATGGCTGATTCTAAACAACTGCTGCGCAAAAAGATCTTTATCGATGCGCCCATTGAGGAGTTCAAGGAGATGGTGTTTGATTGGGACAGGCGAACAGAAGATATGGATCTGGTTATGAGAGCGATGAAAAGGAAGGATGTCAATGTGTTATTAAAAGATTTACATGATTTTGAACAGAAGAATAAATGTGGTAAATAAAACAGGGATTTGGTTTAATGTTGATTTTTAGGGACTTTTATTCGGGTTGTTGCTCGCATTTATTTTACTTTTACTCCCTCATGAGTGCTTTTAACATCTTTTATCGCTGTAAAGCTTTATATAAAAGGGTTTTTGGCGATTCCAGCCGTAAATCATCTTTTGCATGCTGCTTGCAGCCAATCAACTGTAACTTTGGTGTACACGTGTATTGTTGCTCTGTTTGAGGCTAATCAGCCTTCAACAACTTAGAGGCAATACTTTACCAGGTACTCACATTTTCACGGATTAAAGGCATTTTTGCGCTATTCTAAGGAATTTTATCACCAAATATTCTCTTTTATCGCAACACCGTGGTGTTCCTGTATTTGATCCTGCAAGTACGTGTTGCCGATTACAAATGGCATGTTCTGCCGTTAGATAATGGTTAAAAAGAATCGCTAGCACTGTAATTTGATCGTGGCACGATTTCTTATACCTGTGATCAGAATATCTACGTTCACAAAGTGCACGCAAAAGCATGCAATTTACCACCGGTAAGCACTACGCACAACGTAAAAGCGCACATGTGCACTGATTGATGGCCAGGTAGCGTGTTACAGGCACAGCGCACCAAATTCACATACCGTCAAACACAGTATTGGGTTAATGTGTGTACATGCGGGAAATACAGCCAAGATGGAATATAATAAAATGTTTTAACCTACATAAACCTCCTCCTCATCGATAAAATCGCTCAAATCATCCACAACACTGCAAAAATATTTGTACTCGCTCTCTTCTCTGCTACTTTTCTTTCCCATGACGGGGATAAAAAATACCACAAATTAAACCGTTGTCCCTATGGCAAGACCCGAACTGAAGAATCTGCCCACACAGTTCTATACAGACGAGGAAGTAGAGAAATACGACAGAAACAAACGAGTAGTACATATACAGCGCAAAATGACGGCGAAGTGCTATGAGCTGATCAACTGTGCATCTGGTGTCATTCTAGATATCGGATGTGGTACGGGCCACAGCATAGGAGCTTTAAAAGAATATGAGAAAGGTTGCAACGAAGAGGCTGAGAACGTGCCTAACAGAAGCATGGAGATGTTTGTAATAGGCTTGGATATCAATAGAAATATGTTAGTAACGTGCAAAAACAAGGATCTTGGTGCTGAGCTTGTTCAACTGGACATAGGGGATTCATTGCCGTTTCAGCCGGCATCATTCGATGGGATAATCAGCGTGAGCTGCATACAATGGTTGTTCTACGCATCTAACACAGAAAAAATAGAGAAGAGGCTGTACACCTTCTTTTCCTCCATGTATGCGGCCCTAAAGCGGGAAGCAAGCGCTTGCCTGCAGTTCTACTACGAAGGGAAGTGGCAGGTAGATCTGCTGATGAAAGTAAGCCGGAGAGTAGGCTTTGTCGGTGGCGTGGTGATTGATGGCGAGGGAAAGAACACGAAGTACTACCTGGTGTTGAACATGATTATGAAAACTACCAAGTTTGAGAAAGTCAGTAAGGAAGTGTTTAGCAGGGGAAAACGAAGGAAGAATAAGTTAGATGATGAGGCGAATGATGAAAAGGACAACTTACGCAACGATAAACGTAGAAAGACGAGTGGGTCGGGTAAAAAAAATAAAAAAAGATGATAAATTAGCTTAAACATGGAATGCCCGCTTCACTGCTCTTGTAACGCTAAGTAACGTATGTTTACATGTTTTTTACATTTCGATGCATTTCAGTGAGAACTTGGCATCACCTCTATCAAATACGTCTTTACACTACTGAGCTCACGAACAGAAACGCTTGTTGATTTGGAGGGAGTGCTGCACATCTACACTGAGTAAAGCACGTCTTTCTAGCCATGACCGTTGGTGAAAGTAAGAGCAATTAATTTATTTATTGCTCGAATTGCGCTCTACACTACCACAGATCACAGCCATACTTTCAGTTGTACTCCAATATGCGTTATCAATCAAATAGCGCAGCTATTCTACAAAAAATAGTTTTATCAGCTCTTTATACCACACCTAAAAATTTGATGCATTAAACACTTGATGATCTGAGGACAAGGTGACACAGCTCAAAACATCGTTATACTTTAAAACTATCGAATCCACCATTTGTTGACCACCTGCCGTGTCAAACCGGTTGTATTTCGTTTAACCACCTTTTATTACAAGCTTGTGCATGTGTGATTTGAAGGTCTAAAACTTGATCAACATTTAATTTTATCATAAACTTTACGCAATTTGCATATCATTTTCGAAGCGTTCAGATTCCTTTGGTTTAATTAATTCTGTTAAGAATGAACTGATCAGTTTAATTGTCCTATTTTTATTAACAATTTATTTCCTCATACAAAAAAACGCTTTTTGGTTTGCCATATTTTTGAATTATTCCACTCATATTTCTAACCAAACAAGCATACCGTTGCAACCAGCAAATTAAGCACTTTTTATCGGTTATGGATAGAAAAACACACCATTTATGGACCATGCTAGATATTGATATCCTGTTAAACATATTCCTTTTTATAGCACACGAAGTATATCACGTAAAATCAGTATAATATAGCTAAAAACTCGGTATGATCCAGGAAAGAAGTTCATTCAGAAGTATTTAAGGTACGAGCGTATCGGAAATGCTGCCACACGATACTTGCTCATCAATTTTTGTGGATACTGAAACAAAGACTGTTACAGCGTAAAACAAATGTTACTGATAAATAACGCATTTATCAATAGAACACAAACTCTATCAATCCGAATTAGGTATGATGATGATAATGGATGGTAAAATCAGTGTAAATGCAGCTTTCTCTTGCTTGTCTGTCTATCCGTTTGAGATGTTGACCAACGTGGAGAACAGGGAGATCACAGTGTTGCTCTCACGCAATTCCAATGAAATAATAGCATGTAATTCTCTAATAAAATAGAAGAAACAGGCATACTATCACTTGGTATGACTGCATTTTCTTTATTTGTGCGTTAAACAGTTTTGATTTTATGGCGTAAACCACTAAAAAATTGGCAACGTATGATTTCTGTTTCATCTGCGTTACAATTTCTGGCTCTGTTTTGTTGGTAAGGGACCGGCACTCAAAACTTTTGATCACCGTGTTGGTAACCACAAAAAATTGCCAATTAAAGCGATTGACAGCAACAAATCATTCCTGAACCTTTGAATGATCAATGTGCCATTTCCTGTGGAAGACTTTCTTGTTTAATTTGTCACAAATTTCAAAACAAAAAATAAAAGAATTTTTTTTCCCTTAAATGAAAACATTGATGAACTTGAGTATTCAGGAATGCCTATACGAAATTTCCATGGACTGGCGCACGCCTTTCATTGCCACCATACTCTATCTGGTCTATGTTAGGCACCAGAACAACAGGCTCAGGGGAGCCGTGGCCACAGAGAGGTCGCTGCTCTCCTTTGTCAGCCTTCTGATGATCGTTCACAACATCGTTTTGGCAGCATTTTCCATGTACGTGTTTAAACAAAACGCGCCCTTCATCTTCAACCGTTTTCGTAGCGTTTCCTTCAAAATGTTCTGTGCAGACGAGGACAAGTACATCTTCAACCATGTGCACTACTGGTCCTGGGTGTTCTACCTCTCCAAGATTTACGAGATAATGGACACCGTGATCCTTCACTTGAACAAGAAACGAGCAACGTTTCTGCAGTGTTACCACCATGCAGGTGCTATATTTGCAACCTATTTGTTCTGCAAGGCAGAGTCGCACATGGCTTGGATATTTGTCGTGCTGAACTCGTTTGTGCACTCTGTTATGTACCTGTATTACCTCATCTCAGTGTTCAGAATTCGTATTAGATTCAAAAAAATAATCACAACGATGCAAATGACCCAATTCATACTTGGTTACGTTCTGATAGCCATGCACTTCATAGGAGGACAGCGGTTCTCGAGCGATCTCAAGAAAAGAGTGCTCGAAATAATTACAATCATTTTCAATGTCGGGTATGTGATGTTCCTCTTCATACTGTTCAAGATGTTCTTCAAGAAGGAATACCAGAAGAAAAAGAGCAAGACCATAACAAAGGTCACCACGAATAGTGAGAGCCGAGAAAGCCTTCCAGGAATTGTTGCGTCGTAATTAAAATGACAAAAATTAGAATGTGCCGGTTTACCACGCCATGAACGCGATAGCATAGCGATATTGTGTAGCATTTTGCTGTTCTTTATCAAATTACCAGCAAAATTGTGCCTGTTTATAGAATTATATGAGTACTTGATGTTACATCTGCTTGTTTTTATCTTTTGTTTCAAATTGTTGATCGATTTCATCATTTTATCACCACAAACTCCTTAAGAGAGATATAAAAATGATCTATGACTGCGAATCATATCTTCTTACGTGTTTGGAGAGATGTATTAACAGCTTTCGAATACTGAACCTATTATCGCCTTGGTGATCGGTAATTGCACCATACCAATCGCTATGTGGTGGTTCGTAGCTTTCTGCAGGATAAACATTTGATTTACGAAGAGTTTTAAACCCAATTTGTGAGAATCTAGCGTTGAGAATCGTATCTCATCTGCAGAAAACCGGTTCTGTATGGAAATGAGGAACTGAAAACAAATGAAAAAACACATTAAAGATAAGAAATTGTTTAATAAGCAACCAAATTTTGTTCCGTTTTACGAAAATAAATGGCGCAGCCGATGTTCAATAAAAATTTTTATCGCATCCCATGAATTTTTCCATATCATCGTCACTTACTCTGTCTCTCATCTTCTTGTACGTCCGAATAAACCTCTGTAGCTCCTCAATGCACAGATCCTTCATTTCCGTTGATGTCATTTCTCCCTTTTTGTACCTATCGGCCACTGATTGCAGCTTGTCCTCGTCTTCCATGAAAAAGCGCAAATACTGGTAGGATACGTCATTCTCCAAGTCACCACCTAACGCTCGATGTTCCTGCAAGGTTTTGCGTCCACCGGAATGTGCATATGTGCGGATTTTCTTCTTAATATCCTCATCAGAATCATCCAAAAAGATCGTTTTGTCTCTTGAACTGCTCATTTTTCCAAGATTACTGAGTGAGGGCAGAAACTGTGAATACACCGTGCTGGGTTTAGAACACTCAAATATTTTTGACTTGTCACGCGCCAATCTAAAGTATGGGTCCTGATCTATTGCCGCAGGTACCAAGCAATTACTTTTGTTCAGAAATGTAAATACGGAATAAAAACAAGGAAGTAGCTGTCTGACAGGGAAAGATATCTGTCCGATACTCGTATTGGCATCGAACCCAAATATTTTAGAGCCTTCATGGAGCGTGATACTTTTCGCCAGCACAAGCTCCTTCTTGAAAAAGCCGTTATACGGATTTTTCTTCTTGCTCGAGTTCCCAACGGACCCGCAACTTGTGCATGTATCATTCTGGTTAACTCCATTTGATGCATCTGAAACGTCTTCTCTGCCATCATATATACTCACATTGCTGAATATAAACGTCTTTTCTGGATTAAACCCAAATGCTATGATGTCTTTTATGTTACTCTTGGCAAACTCGACACTTTCTGTGATCTGTAAATTTTTGAATAAATACTTCTCATCATCTGTGATTTGTATGACAAGGGGAACATCAAAAATATCCTGCAAGTATTTACACAACATGAAGGGAATAACATGGCCTATATGCATCGACTTCGTAGAGGGTCCCCGCCCGGTGTACAGATAGAAGCCCTTTCCTCGTTCGTAATCATCAAATATCTTGCCGAGATCACGATGCGCAAATACAATACGGCGTTTGATAAGATGGCTTACCTTCTTTCCGGTCAGTTTTTCCATTTTTTCGATTAAAGCGTCGCTTATTAGTTCACATCCAAATTGTTCCGTGATTTTAGTGTAATCCAATTTTACCGGTGCAACGTCCCATGGCGTCAATATTTCTTTCATAGGGGTGAAAAATAACGGCTCAAATATTCAACGGTTTGTTGCCGGTAAAACGATAAACAGCGATGAGGAGATGTTGACGGCGCTCTTGTAAATTTATTTAGGATTATTTTTGCGGACAATGCACTGATTTATATTTTTTAGATGATTTGGTGTTTGAAAATGAACTATAAAAAATTTACAGATTGTTAGCACCAATCCAACTGCTCAAATGGCAGGCATACACAACAATAGCTCTACTCTCCTCAATTTCTGCTTGACATTCATCATAAATAAATAGATCACTCATCAATAATGGAATGAACATATGTTTAATCTTTTCAGAGCGTTATTCATAATTATGTTGATTCAGGAAATATTGCCTTTGTGGAAATTCTTGCCTGTGACCTCTTTTAGGATCGAAACCGCAACAAACGAAAAGCTGTTCTAGAATTTTTCTGCCAAAGAATGTTCTGTAATCCACTGATGAGTGTTACAAGGAAGCATTTACGTTTGTAAACCTTTTTGGTGTGTATTCCTTTAAAAAAATTTGTATGATTTAGGAAGCAAATAATTCTCTAAATAGTAAATAACAATTGGTTTACCGGTAATTTTGTGTGCAAAAAATTATATTCACACATTTTTTTCATTTCTAAACTCCAAAAATACTATGGAACACGTGACACTACCAAAAAATATGATTCTACACCACTTGGTAAAAGTGCTGCTTTAGTATTCCACAAGTTTTTTTGCACCAGGAACGAAAATTTCTCAGCAATTCGCAAATTATATCGCTACAATAAATGGGTAAACAAGGAATGCGAACCTAATACACAAACAAAATAGCGAGTTAACTAAGTACTTTATATTACATTTGTTATGATGAGTCGTAGAATCGTTGTGTTCATCCTGTTACTTCGATCGCATATCTTTGAAAGATGAATCGCTGAGAGAAAAATTGTTTAATAACGCAATAACGAGTATTTTATCAGAAATATTTTTACGCAGTCATATCTATATGATTGAAAGTATCCTTTAGAACAAGCTTGAGCTATTAAAGTACGAACAAATAATTTTGTGCACACATTCCGATCGCATGAGCGACACGTATAAGTTTTTCAAAACAGCAGACAAAAGGTACGAAAATTAGCGATCAAATTGAAAAATCTTAGAGCTCGTGGCGGGTAATAAAAATATTTTTTTGACCTACCCCTTGACAGAAAGTCAGGAGAACCTTTAATAGCTACTCTGTTACATCTGTCATATAATAATGATGTACGTAGTGTTATAAGCATTTTACGTGCTATATTTTTGTTTAAATATTCAATTTTACGCTATATAACTGTGGTTCTCACCAATTGTTGAGAGAATTTTTCTGTAAACAGATTGTTGCAGAAGTGCTGTCCCTTTTTCATATGAATAAATATTTGAGCAAAGTGCTCAGCAGCGGATATTCGTGTGGGCATTTGCAGACCACGTATGAAGAGCAAGCAAACATGTATAGGTATCTACTACTGGTCATAAGAATGGTTAGATTCTAGCATTTCAATTTTAATACATTAAAGCAAATACTTGTGGTTTTTACGCATGTTGATAGTTTTTGCGCATCTTTTCCTAGGCTTTGTGTATAGAATCGATCAATGTGTCTGTCTACAGAATCAGCAGCAAGATCTATACATCTAGTTTACCGGTTCTTCTGTATTGGCAATGATGCTAATTCATACTACCAATATATATCATACATGAAATTGCCTTATACATCATATTTTCCATCGATTCATGGAATTATGTTTACAAAGCTTGCTATCATCAAGAAATGCATTCTGGATAAATCAACTATGTTAAACCGAAGCATTTTATTCGCCGACAAGCCCAAAGCAAGTTAGTAAATTATTTATTTAAACTTGGACGGTAAACCATGATGTAATAGATAGGTTCTCGTTATAGACGTAGTAGTACAAAATATCGGAAGATATTTGATTCAACACTATGAAATTAAAAAATCCTCATCAAATATCACTCCGATAGTATCTATTCAGCTTATTTAAATTCATAGCACGCTATTTATCATTTTCTAAAATTTATATTTTAACCAGCAATTAATCACTGGTCAAGTAGCCTTAGTGGTATGGAACATCAATTGTCAAAAATGGTCAGTAAAACATAAGTATCTTTTGGCCATGTCTTCTTCATATATTACGTTGTTTTCTCATTCTCAGCGAAGCTGTGCTGACAAAATAATTCTAAATGAATGCTGTGCAATAAGTAAATATAGTTTAGAGACCTATTACGATAGTTTGAAATGACCTGAGTTATTTACTGACGTTCAGCTCAATTATCACTTCATAATGCACGAACTACTCCTGCTTGAGCTAAATTTTATTGGTTTGATTGGAACAAAAAAGTGATGATGGAATAACCTTGCTTGTGATAAACTCAGTTGCAAATGAGCGTGATATTATCGAATATTTAAGAATAGTGCTGAAAACACTATATTTCGACCAATATCGATGACAGCGATTTGTTGTTTCCTATCATTTTGATCACCGCTAAAAATATTCTTAAAATTATTCGTTAATCCACACCCCATGTCATTAGAAAATTATCTGAGCGGCCTGATGAATTACAGGGGGAGCTCTCTTACGACAGAGGAATATGAGCAAATAGCAAAAATACTAAAACAAGCAATTGCGAGAAATCTTGCGGAAACAAAAACGGTCAAAGTGGAGGAGGTCGCGGCAGAAAAGGGTGCAATTAGTGCTGAAGAGGAGATTAGAAACATGGAGATGGCAGAATGTTTGCGAAGGGAGGGAACGGAGCTCTTCAAAAAGGGCGATTATGAGGGAGCGCTGGGCAAGTACACAGAGGCTATAGAGAAGGATCCGCAGGATAAGGTCCTGTACAGTAATAGGTCTGCATGCTATGCCAAACTGAACAGAAGCGAAGAAGGAATAGCGGATGCGGAGAAAGCCGTAGAGCTCGATCCTACCTATGCTAAGGCATATTCGCGTCTCGGCTCTTTTTACTACTACATCGATTCAGCAAAAAGTGTTCATTATTACGAAAAAGCGCTTGAATTTGACAGTTCAAACAAGGAATACCAAAAAATGGTATCTGATTTGCAGAAAAGAGTGCACAGCAATAGGGGCCCAAACATGGAGGGTAAAGATGGAAACACGGACCTTGAGAGCCTTTTCAAGAATCAGAAGCTGATGGACTACGCGAAGGAGCTCTTGAAGAATAAATCTCCTGAAGAGATCAATAAAATGAAAGAAATGTTCGGCAACATGATGAATGATAAAAAAGATGGTCTACAGTAATAAAAAACTAGTTCAATATTTTTATTTTATACTCTCATTCCTTGCAAAAGAAATTTTGGTTTTGAATTATCTAAGGTTCTCATATATACATCATCAGTCATTTGGTAACCATTGCGCTATTTATGGCTGTCTGCTACTGTTCGCTTTTGCATACGTTGATAAAGTCTTTAAACTTATGCCACCAACCGTTTTTTGACCTCTTCTTTTTGCGCTGTTTATATTCCTGTGTTACCCAATCGTAGTTTTTATCGTTTGACAGATCATTTGCACTCAAAGCGCTTTTGAACAGGCCAATTAAATACTTGTAGCTGGGCTTTTCTACAAAATTGAGGTTGCGTACGTATTCCAAATATTTTACAAGGTAAGTTTTTGCAGGCAGGTCACTGCATAATACGCTCAGAGACGTGTTCTTCTTCTTCTCACCTATAATCGTGTGCTTTTCCCTGCCTGTGGCAGCACGTACGCCCATCCAAGGCAAATTTCCTCTCAAAAAATAAATAAGTGTATAACCCAAGCTTTCCAGATCGTCTCTCCGGCTCTGCTCATACCCCATATGTGTATTCAGTGAAGCATAACGGGCAGTTCCGGTCAATTTTTTGTTGTTTATAAAGGGTATATGCTCCCTGCTGTTCGGATTCATATAGTATTTCGCCATACCCAGATCAATAAGGAATAGCTCATCGGGATTGTCATGTCCTATGAGTATATTTTCAGGTTTTATGTCACGAAATATCCTGCACCGCCCATGAATATCCTCCAGAGACTCCAAGACCGTGATGGCGATCATACAAATCGTCTTTACCGAAAAATTTTTTTTCCTCCTCTCGTAGAGATCTTGAAGACTTGGTCCTAGTCTGTCCATTACCAAATAATAGTAATTGTCATATTTGCCAAAATAGTGCACCAGTGCAATGCCTTTACATCCCTTGAGATCAGTGTATATTCGGTACTCGTTTTTTAATTGACTCGTAGTTTTAACAGGCACACTCTCCAATTTCAAGGCATATCTAGTTCCACTACTGTCTTCGACCTCATATACGATTCCAAAGGATCCCTGACCCAGCTTTTTGGTAATTTTATAGTTTCCTATTATGTCACCTTCTATCATTAGGCTTTTCTTAATTTTGTTGGGGTGTGTTTTGGTGCGTTTTTGGTATTTAATTTTATTGTCCACTGGTTGTGCAAGCAAATTGTTATTTGGTACGATCATTTGGAAATTTTCTGCACGAGAAACATTTTATATATACTGTGCGATGCAAAACCATTTGTTTTGGCCAAGAAATGAAATGATATAAAACACTTATATGATAAATGGCTATTCAAATCACTTTCATGGCTATTAAATTGCGTAGGAGTCTAATTCGCACAGGTACTTGTATTGAAGCGGTCAGTGTGCCATGTCGCGGTATTTTGATTCAATTCGATATTTTAATTTATCTGTTTGGAAGGCAATTAGATCATTAAAGAGCTCTCGTCAACAAATCATTTCGAGATTGTCTGAGATCTATCACAAAATGTACTAGTGCGGATATGAAATAAAGAGGTACAAGATACAGTAATTAAAAAATTTTTTGCTGCAAATAAACACGCTTCTCACGTTATAGATGATTCGATCGTATTATTTTTTATTGTCCAGGTGCTGCCATCTATGGTTTATTCGGAACCGCACCCAAATTTAATGCACCATTTTGTGTGCCTCTAGCATCATGATAAGGTAATGAATAATTCAGAAACCGATTTAACAAACATAGTAGCTGCGCTTTGAAATGCATAATGCCCGTTGAAAAGTTGGTTATTTATGGTTGTTCGAACACGTTTGTGCGATTCCTTGCTTCTTGTGCGTTCCATCAGGTATAATTTTGCTGTAAAATACGTCAAAACAACACAATCAACACCGTGGAAGTCGCAGCAAGATAGTTTGTGCCCCTAAAGAGGTGGGAAATTAAACTATCCAGTGGTTTTGATGATTCAATGATCATAGGTGTAAACATAGGTTGCTTTAATTCGTCATGTCAATTACATTTTTCCGATCGCAAATCATCATCAATACAAATAAATGACAACTTGGAAGCTGATTGATCAGTTCGTTAAAACAATAAAAATTTTTTATTCCACATTTTTGTACAAAGAGAAAATTAAGCATTACCATTAAATGAATTCCTTCTGAAAAGTTCTCAACTATTCTTTGTAAATAAGACATGATTACTGAGTGTAAATTAATTCTTTAACTAATTGTAAAAGCTCTAAAATAAGTGATAAAACATATAATAACATATTAAAGGAAGATAATTGCTCACTAAGCACCAAACTTTATTCCATTTCTAAACAGGCATAGAGTTATATATAATGGACTGCAGTGCAATATTGTTACACTCTCCATCAATGACTTAAATAATAACTAGTAGAGATTAAAATAACAGAAGAAATACGATCAGACTTACAAGGCACATTCGCTATATATGATATCCAAAACCATAGGCTTAGACAGTCTTTGAAAAGAATATTAGCGTAAGAACCAACGGTCTGGTCATTAAAAATAGTTTTAATAGAAATCTCATCAACAAGTACCCTGAGGATATCAGTCAACCTTAGCAAAGCTACTGCAATACCATGTTTTGAATTAAAGAGCAAAAAAATATTGTTCCCGTGATTTACAACTTTTGAATATTAACGTATTAGTTCATATGTTTATAAATCCTTATAGACTAGGTTGTTTCTCCTTGACGCACAACTTTTACATGATTTAACACAATAACATTTTCACTCACCAATTTGTCGCACACAAATTTATTATCAAAACCGGAAAAAGAAGATTATTTGATATTTCTGCCATCTATTTGTCAATCAAGCCAACTATTATACTTAAGGTGTACTCATGGGTGGAGAGTGGCACACTAGATTTCGCTCAGTGTTATATATTAAAAACATTTTTATCAACATATTTTCAACAGCACTCAAACGAGTATATTTATCTTGTTTGTTGGTACCGGATATGCCTGCCAACCTTCGGTCAATAATGAACTCAGCTTCGCGTATTGCTGATTATTGATAGTCTCTGTACCATACCTGGTCTATTTCTTTTCTTAAATGCTGTGTAGTAAATTTACTTTTCTCAAGATATACCAGCAGTGTACGAAGCTAAAGCATGCTACAGACCGCATGAAATCAGCAAATATCAATACATTTTACGGATATAATGCAGTGTTAAACTGATTTGTTTTTATTTAAACTTCTACTCTTGCTGCCAACTCCAATATAACTTTTTGGTAATTAAATCAATATTTAATTTCAAGAATGTACTCAATATTGTTAACGGACAATAAATTGCAAGCAACTGGATATTAAACTGGTTATATGTTGCTTGTGCTTATTTATGTGCTGTGATGTGACTTTTAAACGGACATCCTAAACAACTACATGGATGGTTCTTTTCAGGTTCGCTAGAAACACCAATTCAGAGTATTCTTAATACAAATTGGTGTTAAACTTTTAAATATCACAAACATATATTTTATACTCGATTAAATGTTCAAACATAGTATTTTTGGATATTTACACAGCCATTTCATATTTTATTCAAGCAATATAATTATATGTAATAGAAACATACACCATGAAATTAGTTGTACAGCTTTCAAGGGATTTGTTAGTGCTTTTTTATGACCATTTAGCTGTATAAATCGTGAGTTTAATAAATTATCGTATATTTTGGGAATATATAAATTTACCTTAAAAGTATACATTTAAAAGATGTATGAGATATTATCTCTGATCAATGTTGTTCAATCTTTACTGCTACGTTAATGTAGCAGTGAAATATATTCTGCGCTTTCAAACTGATCGAAGCTCATCTTGTGAAGAATATATGGTTTTCGATACATTGGAGAACACTGGACTCGTGAGCTTCATAAATGCATGCAGAGAAAATCAAACAGAGAGTTCGCAATTCAACGAAGCACAAATGCTTGCAACAGAGAGAGACTCGGAGAGCATAATGGATCAGAACCAACCGCCATTTACACGTCAAACGACGTACTATGTCAACAAGATTTTCGGTACAAGAAAGATAAGATGTAAATCATTCACCAGTATCGCTCAAGATGACGGGAAGGTGATATATGAAACCATAAATATTCCAATCTCAAAACAACTATTCCTAAAGATCATGTGTCTGTCCAAAGATCATATACCTATATTGACGATTGATGATATGTATATGATTTTCAAGCATATGTTTCCGTTCAAAGATAAAGTTGGATTGTTAACATATGCGATATGTACACATCTCCAGGAGCATTGGCATTTGATTGGCCAATTCAAACATTTGCTTGAAAATCCATGTAAGGACGATCATAATGAACTGGAAAGACATATGGCACTAGCTATATTGGACAAGAGTGGAGATTCGCATAGCTTTAGAGAAGTTGTCAATTCATACATTATGTTTAAGGTAACCGATGCAGACAGAGCATGCGCTACAACATCAGAAAATGAGGAAATTTTTGATAATATTTATTATGAAATCGATATTAATGGTTTAATGCTGGGTTTTCTTTTCAAATACATATCCATGGACTATACGTATCTCGAGAACAACAAGGACACGTTGGGATTGATTTTTGACGACGGTATGGATGGTTTTCTGTTAGATGTACGAATATATAACATCGATTTGACAGCAAAATCAACTGTGTATCCCGCAAATGAAGTTTTCAAGAACAAGCTTCTTCTCATTACTGGATGCGCATTTCTATCTTCTGCAAGAATCAATAGAGTTATATTAGAGTTTAAGAACATCAAGATGTTATTGGATTTGGCACTTTTAAAAAACATAAGAGCTTCGATCACGGCACAATTCTATTCCTGTTCGGTGCCATTTATCAATTCAGTTCCGAAAAACATTCAAAACATAAAAGCCACCTTCATAAATAAGTGTGATGATGTTTTGAACTATGTTTCTGACAAAAACGTGGAAGCATTGTACCAACGATTTGTTTTCAGCGAAAATATAAGTTTTCTAGGCCATGTAAAAAATATCGAAATTCTAAACTCAAAAATCGAAGAAAATGTGATTTTTTCATTTGATAAGGAGTGCGAATATATTTTAATAAATAAAACAGAGGGAAAAATTGATTGTTCGGGTGTTGCTGGGTTTGGTATAATGGCATTATTAAGTGGATCAGGTTTCAAATACCGCAAACAGAGTGCAACAAAACAAAGAACGCTATCGATCGATAACGCTGAAATATTCGGAGTAATATACGTTGATGCAAATGTTAACAATCTGTCTATCTATAACGCTAAACTATCACCCGACTCAAAAATTATATTTTGCAACGCCAATACGTGTTTGGACATTTCAAAATCAGAAGGTTTAATTGATTTGACGCCATATATAAATGCGGAAATATACTTTCAGGAACAGACGTGGGTAAGGACTGCAATGCTTCAGGATGTGGCTTCGAGCTATATTTTCCTGCATAACATTCGTTTGCACAAATCTATAGAACTGTCAAACAATTATAATTTTGTTGACTTGCACGGAATAACCATGGAAAAACATTCATACATAACCATAAATGAGATGTGCACCGTACTATCGATTCATGAGACCAACGGCACAATTGATCTGACAAAAATTGAACATCTTCACAAAATGAAAATAAAAAATTCTGCCGGTGAAGTTTTTGGAACAACATTTATAGGGACAATTAATGTGGACATTTTAGAGTTTCAAGGCGCTCACAACAATATAGATATAGCAGCATTACTGTCGCGTAACTTCAACGAAATCGTAAATTTGCAATTTAAAAATGAATATAACAGAATGTTTCATGGCACTGCTGAAAATATATCGCTAAATCCGCCACCAGATTATCTGCTTACAGGCCATTTTAGAGGTTTTTTACGTACTATGGGAAAATGCGTTCCAAAAAAAAGGTACAATCCAAATTCTAGCTATAATGCTATCGTGAATGTCAACATGAACATAATTTTTAACGAAAACATTACGAAAAAAATGTCTGTTGGACTCAAAGGTTTGAAATTTATGGCTACTACCATCACGAACGATGATATTCAATGTCTGGTTAAGATGAAAAACTTGGAAATTCTTAAAATATGTATAGGAACTTTGACAAGTGAGTTTTTTGCGCACTTGCCCCGAAGTCTTAGGCTGCTCGATATTTCTGAGCCATTTGCTTACCATGACGCTGGGAACTTTTATAACAGAATAAGATTTCAGCCAAATACGCTACCATTCAACAATCTAACCGTTTTGATGATTCAGTCTAACTTTCTTCCATACTTACGTGTAGCAAGTGCTCTAATGCCATCGCTCAAAATACTTAGTGTACATTTTGATTCTGATTTTTTAATTGATTCTCTAGCGTGCAGTGACAAACTGCAGCTGCATGAATTGTTTATTGAAGTTAAGAATCCTGTAATTGATTTTAACCACAAATCTGCTGAGGAGTCAAAAATTGATTGCTTTATTAGGTTGTTGTCAGGATACATTAATTTAAAAGCTCTTAAATACCTTGCTTTTGTTTCAAATGATAAGTTAGTAGAAATTGATCCTTTAACCAATGCTATCGTAGATAGAAAATTGTACAAGGGTGTTGATTGCGATTGGGGAGAAAAATATGCAGATTGTGAGCGTTATTATGAAATAGAATAAAACATTAGTTGGTACTATCCTCATAAATATCCATTTTTTTTGCTAATATTATGTTAATTGCTCTTTCCAGGATCGAATATCATAGCGAATATAAATAAAAAGGCAATTTGTGGCGCATCTAGTCGTAAAACATGGTAAGTTGCAAACACTGCAGCAAGCAAAAATAGATTATGCATCATATTTGTGGGATCAAAGAATGAGCTCTGTTGGAAGAAACTCACAAAATTACAACAACATGAATGGTAGATGCAGTTTGAAACCACCACTCGAATAAATTACAGCAAACAAGGCATTTAATACACTTCTATTCTCAAAAAACTTTCATTAGTGTCTGGCATCATATAGAATAGATTACTTCACGGAGAAAGCTTTCAGGATACTGCTATACTATGATTTGATTAGATAATCATTTTATTCAATCTCTTATTAAAATTAATCTGGCACATTTTGATCTTATTCATTACAAAGCTAGTGATTTCAACTCCAAGATATACAAGCAAATGAGAGATTTATTACTATCAAATCGGTTATTCAGTAACATATCTGAGAACGTTTGAATACTAGTTGGGTAGACCGTAGCTTTATTATTTCATAGAATCAACAGGTGAAAAATTTATCGCAAAAATACTTTCATGCTTTTCTATGTTTTTTGGTAGATCACCCAATTTTTTTTT